CAGTCTTCTCTTTATGGTAGATTTTGGATATTGATACTTCTACATCCTGGAGAGTGTTGTTCACTTGGTTGGCTGTTGTGAGGGGGTTTCTCTTCACTGTGGAGATTATTCTGCCATCATCCACCATTGTTGTCTTCCGTGGGCGCCCAGGTCTTTTTGCATTGATTRGTTCACCAGTGCTTTCTTTCTTTCTCAGGATGTACCAAAATGCAGTTTTTGCCACTCCTAATATTGTAGCAATTTCTCAGATGAGTTTTTTTCTGTTTTTGCAGCTTAAGGACGGCTTGTTTTTTCATCTGCATGGAGAGCTCCTTTGACTGCAGGTTTACTTCACAGCAAAACCTTCCAAATGTAAGCAGCACACCTCAAATCAACTCCAGGCCTTTTATCTGCTTAGTTGAGAATGACATAATGAAGAGATTGCCCACACCTGTCCATGAAACAGCTTTGGAGTCAATTGTCCAATTACTTGTGGTCCCTTTAAAAACAGCGTGGCACATGTTAAGGAGCTGAAACTCCTAAACCCTTCATCTAATTATAATGTGGATACCCTCAAATGAAAGCTGACTGTCTGGACTTTATATCCATGTACATTATATAACTATAACTTGAATATGTTTCAGTAATCACGTAAAAAGACAAAATTTTTGTCAGTGTCCGAATATACAGTATATGGACCTAACTGTATATTAAATGAATAAATTGATTTTTATTAAAATAATAAATGAATGTATACTAGATGGATGGATGTAAGCTGGCAGGATGGTTGATAAATAATGTATAGATGGATGAATGGATAAGTAATAATTAGATAATGGACGGATGGATAAATAATGCATGGATAGAATGAATGAATGAATGAATGAATGAATGAATGAATGAATGAATGAATGAATGAATGAATGAATGAATGAATATACAATTTTAAGCTAAGAGTCAGGGGTTTGTCCACTGACTAAATATAGATGATTGAGACTAGGGCTGCCACGATTAGTCGATTAGTCGACGACTAATCGATTATTAATATAATTGATGACTAGTTTAATAATCGATTAATCCTTTTCTCTCTCTTTTTTTTTGTTCTTTACTTTGTTTTTCCCACCAAACTGCTTTGACACCTTCCACTGCCACATCTGCCT